GGTTTGCGGGGCAGCCAGGAGCAGAGCTGGGCAGGTGGCAGCGGCCCCCGCCACCCCCCGGCTCCTGAGGGCACAGGGTGTGCAGCAGCATGGGGAAGGAAACTTGCGCAAGAGCAAAAATAAGGCCCAAGCCCCCACCCAGGAGCCCAGCCCTGCCTCCCGGAGAGGAACTTCCCATCGCCGCAGCCTGACAGAGGAAGCTGGGGCTGAACGACACAGCGTCTCTCCCGCCCCGCGGCACAGTATGGGGCCGCCGCCAGGCAGCTAGAGCCGCAGCGGAGCCGAGCGAGGAGCCGGCCATGCCCAGGAAGGATCCCCGGCACCCGGGCCCCGCCGCGCCCCAGGCGCTGCCCCTGCTGCTCGCCCTGGCGGGGGCCGGGGTGGTGATGAGCCAGCAGCGCTTCCCCCTGCCCCAGCCTCTGTCTATCGACAACATCGCGGCGACCGGGGACAGCCTCCTGCTGGCGGGCGGCAACTGCCTGTACAAGCTGTCCCCGTCCCTGCAGGAGCAGCTCGGCCTCCGGCTCCTGGAGGGGGCGCAGAACTGCACTCACCCGGCGGGCACCCGCAACAAGCTGCGGCTGCCCGACCTGCAGGGCGACCGCCTGCTCACCGGCTGGGCGCTGCACGGCGGCAGCTGCCAGGTGCGGCAGCTGAGCAACCTGCAGCCGCAGACCAACCAGAGCGAGGTGGTGAGCTGCCTGCCGCAAGGCTCCACCACCGGGCTGCTCTTCGCGCCGCTGGAAGACACCGAGCGCTACCTGGCGCTGGCCGCCGCCTACCAGGTGCCCAAAGTGAAGACCATCTGCGTGTCCTCGGTCTCGGACGCCAACACGGCGCTCACCATGCGCCGGCTGCAGGACCTGAGCCTCACCAGCGGGGACTCGGCGACGGTGAAGCGCAAGGAGCCGCCTCTGCACTTCGTGGACGCCTTCCTGTGGGACAAGCACCTCTTCTTCCCATACTACCCCCTCGGCGAGGCAGAGGCGCAGCCCAGCGTGGCCCTGCTGCGGATCCCGGAGAAGTCCGCCCTCGTCTTCAACCACTTCGGAGAGGTGCGCCTGGACTGTGGCGGCCGCGGCATCCTGCTCTCCTCCAGCCTCCTGGGGGCGGAGGGCTGGTGGGCCGGGGTCTTCAGCACCAAGCAGAGCGACAGGAGCTGGAACTCTACCGCCCTCTGCATCTTCAGCACGCAGGAGATGGTTAACCACAGCGGGACGACAGGCAGCAACTGCCGCGATCAGATGATAATCAATGAATCCCCCAATTGTGTGAGTCTCCCCTTGACTTCGCTTAAGCGTCCCGCGGAGCTGGCCCCCGCCAAAATCCCGGTCCGAAAGCCCCTGGACGCCAGGGGAATTCTGAGCCGGAGCCCGCGCCCAGGGACCGGGCTCTACAGAGAATGGCTAGAGCTTTGTGTGTCCTCTAGGCATTGTGTGGTGGCTGGCCCCTGAGGTAGGTCGTGTCATTTCCCTTACAGAGCTGGGAAGAGAGAGACCCGCTCGGGGTTACATCTCAAAGAAAGGTTAGGACCAGGATTGCAGTTGAGGAGAACCTTGCTTCAGAGTCCCTAGGGCTCAGCCTCCTACATCCTCCTGCCATCTAGTCATGCTTCACCTCCCCCACAGCTGTATAAATAGTAATTATGAATACTAAAGATTTCACTTAGGCAGAAACCCAAGACTGGTGGAATCATTAAAGTTACATCAAAGATTAATTTGGCCTGCTACATTTACTGCTGTTGTGAAGTGTGTTGAGGGTCTGTCTTCTTCACATTATTTATTACTTATTTATGTCAGTGCCCACTGCCCCGTGCTTTCCAGTCCTTCAAGGATATTCCCTGCTTTAATGGGCATACAGACTAAGGCCAGCCAGACGAGTGGACAGCGCTTAGGGGAAAGGCAACAACAGTAGATGTTGGCTGCTACTCCTCTCCACAGAGGCATTGCTTTTTAGAAGCATAAAGCCAAATCCTGTCTTCTAACCTTGGGCTTGTATTAATTATCCTGTGGGAGATTCCCTGGTCAACCACTTCTCCAACACTCTCACTCCTGTCATTTTAACATCTGTGGAGTCAGGGATCCACACAAGACTGGAGGGCTAGAATGACTAACCATGCCTTGCTTTATTTTCTGGTAAATTGTGCGGGAAATTTGCTGGAAAATGAACTCAGCGTGAAATACTGCTTCTGCGGGGCTCTTGTGCACTGTGGAACCCAATGCCCTGTGGTATTCTGGGGGCTGTGGCCAGTGGAGCACAAAGGAATGGGAAAGAGAACCAGGGGGACCAGCCCTCTGTTGAGAGAGAACTGATCTCTGACAGATCCTCCAACACCCAAGCATTCCGCAGTTTGATCCCCTGCCTCTTCTCCATTGGGCAGCTTCCTCCAGTAATGGACAAAGTATTTTGGAAACTGCATGAGAAGTTGCTATCCTAACCACCATTAGGGAAGCAGTCTGAGACCTTTCCAAATAAAAGCTGCAATATAAGTGTCAAATATATTAAAAATAGCTAGGCACATCAAATATAATTAAAAATCTGTCCCCTTCTACATGGAATTGTAAGACTAGGTGGATGAAATCTTGGCTGTGTGGAAATTAGTGGCAAAACTCCCACTGATGTTGGTGGACCCAGGATTTCACCCTCCGTTTTCAGGTGTCAGTAACTCACTTTGATTGTTTTGATTACTGATGGTAAAATTAATGAAACGAGTTAATAAAAACTCTCCCCTTCCCAAACAATGGTTAATAAGAAATTGAATGTTGGATTCTGGTTCTTTCATTATTAAGTATTTACATGATTTCTTTATTGGCGCTCTAAGATTTTTTTTTTTTTGGTGAGACTCTAATCCATGGCAAAAGTGAATAATATACTTCCAATAGCAATCCACAAAAAAACCCCAACCCTGAATACATATTTTGGACAACTCACATATCAGAAATACTAGAGAACTATAGTTGTGACTTTTAGGAAAATGGGTGTAAGGCAGTGCAAATATAGGTTGAACGTTTCTAGTTCAGCACCCTTGGAACCTGACTGGTGCCAAACCAGAGAATTTGCTGAACCATGGGAGGTCATTATTGTCTAGCAGCATTACCAATATTTCTGAGCTCTTAGAAGACATTTAGGAGTAAATTAGAACTAAATAACAGCACAGAACACTAACATCCAGGATTGATGGCTATAACAAACTTTATGGGAAATTTGGCCATGCCCATGATAAGTGGACATCCAGTTAACTAAAATTATGCTGGACCATGGATGTTGCTGGACCAGAGGTGCCATACTAGAGAAGTTCAACCTGTACTAGAGTCTATAAGGCTGTCATCATCACTATGTTATCTAAATATCTAAATATGGTACACTGACATTCATTATTTTGAGGACTAGTTCTGGCTTAGATTACAACTATAGTCTCATTATTATAGCAATAAATTCCATCTTTCAAAAGGCTTATCTTTACTGGAAAATTAGGTTGTATTAGAATATGACCATGAGCAGTTGTGTTATTTAACATGATGCTAAACACAACATTGCAGACAATATAGACTTATCACTATGTTTTAACATGTCACTAATTGGAACTCTAGAGCTAATCATGCCCAACTGACAGTGTTAATCATCTCTGGTTCCTACCTACACTGGTAGTACAGTCATGTTTAACATTTTGCTAGATTATATAAATCTTGAGTTTGTGTTATACCATGGCAAAATTGTTGTATGATGCCAACCCCAAAGGAGGCATGATATTCCCTTTAGTATAATTAATTAATTAATTAATTATATACATTTACAGGAAAGGCATAAAAACAAATGCAATTCAGTTTTTAAAAGTTATTTTACACCAGCTTCTAGAATAGGCAAACACAGAACATGTGTGCTCACTTCATGCTTGCATTCTTTATCTTCCAGATATTTCTACATGCATTCTTCTATCCTTGCCACTCAAAGTGCAAGGTGGCTCACTTCCATAAAGTGATGCCCTTTTGAGTCAGAAGTGTGCATGGGTTCAAAATCTGCCAAAAAACAAAACAAAACCCCACAAATTGTCACTGAGTATGCAAAACTTAAAAATCAAAAAGGCTTTTGGGCATGAAGGAGAACTGTGTATCCCAGAACATCAACTGTGCATCATAGAAGATGAATGGAAACACAGCAGATAGTGGGCAGTGGTTCTTATCTGGCTGCAGTCATGGCACCAAAATATGTTGTATTATTACTGCTTCCTGGAATTGGAGCTCTAAGCTTTCGTGTGGCTGGTGGACTTATCTGAACAGAGCCCTGCCTTTTGCAGCAACTCTTAAATTCAAAATAAATTGCAAATCCTAGTTATCTTTACTGTGTTCTAAATCAGTGAAATAGTATGGTCCATCCAGGCCTGTGTACTTAGACCTATCATGTTGGCTCTCAAAGTGGTACTATATTTGAGTGCAGCCCTCAGCAACAGTAAAATAGTTATAAGCCACAGCTTTGTGACAGCACTCTTCTGACTTGTGTGGGAATTTCCCACTTGTTCACATTCACACCACTGCTTGCACTTCCTGAATGTTGCCTGTGTGTTGTGGTTCTGAGTAATATGCAAAGGGTTTGTTTTGCTAGGGGGATATGCACACTGGATCAATTATATACCTACATTTCATGCTACAGTGGTTTGCATATTCCATTTAAACTGAAAGTTTAAATGGAATGAACACTCTGGCTCTAATCTAGCAAAACACTTCAGCAGGTGCTTAACATTAAGCATGCCGATAATCAAGCTGACTTGAAAGGAACTGTTCATGATTAAAATTAAGAATAGATGTTAATACTTTACTGGGCTGAAAGCAGAGGGGATGTGGGTGTATCAGGGTGTGTGATTGACATAATATTGCTATTATAGCTGACCGGAATTGTGCTTGCGCTCTAGCAATTGATTTAAGAGTAGCATTCCAAACAAGTACTTTTAAAAATGACTCCAATGCTCATTATGTCATATGTTGCATTTTTGGCTGTATGACTGGACCAATTATGCTTTGATTTCATATAGTGGGATTTTCACATGGCATTTTGTGCTATGTTGCTACATGTATAACAATATACGATATATATACAATTTATAGCTCTCTGATGAACTAAGCATCATTTATGCAGTTTTGTAACCTTTTGCTCTGATTAATTTTTCTCTGATCCAAATTTCTGTTGCCTTAATTTTGGGTATATCTAATTAAAAATACAACTGAAATATATGTCTTAATGAACACCAAAATAGAAACTATATACAGATAAGCACCTTCTATTCTCAGAACAATGAATGCTTTTTCAAATGCAAAATCACCAAATTAAATCTGAATTTGTTTTCAGAAATTTGTCTGCATGCCAGTGAGCATTTTTTGAAGCATGCAATTCTGAAATGGGAGCTTTTTGGCTAAAATACATGAAACACACTGGCTGTGTCTACACTGGCCACATAAAACGGAAAAGCCATGCAGATCAGGTAAGTCAGGATAGGGAAATCCGCGGGGGATATTTAAATCCCCCGCGGATTTAAATAAACATGTCCGCCACTTTTTTCCGGCTTTTCCCCAAGCCGGAAAAAAGTGGCGGACATGTTTATTTAAATCCGCGGGGGATATTTAAATCCCCCGCGGATTTAAATAAACATGTCCGCCACTTTTTTCCGGCTTTTCCCCAAGCCGGAAAAAAGTGGCGGACATGTTTATTTAAATCCGCGGGGGATATTTAAATCCCCCGCGGATTTCCCTATCCTGACTTACCTGATCTGCATGGCTTTTCCGTTTTATGTGGCCAGTGTAGACACAGCCACTGGGTATCTGTTCGAATGACCTTTGAAGTCAGTGAGGGTATGTCTGTACAGTAGTGTTATTTCATAATAACGTTCATGGACTTCTTACTCTGACTTCTGTAACCCTCATTTTATGAGGAGTAAGGGAAGTCAAAGGAAGAGTGTTCTGTATAGACAGTGCCAAAAGCTGAATTAAAGTATTTCAACTTCAGCTAAGCAATTGATGTAGCTGTGTCAATTTAGCCCAGCTGTGTAGACATACCCTGAGAGTCTTTCCTTTTTGTGGGCTTTGAGCATGCCATATAGAAACTACTAGAATATCAAATCCTGGTGAGAGATTATGTGCATAATAGATTAGCAGACATGACCCTGTAAATACTGAGAATTTAAATTAGAGACCATCTGCAGGAGGGCATACTTAAAAAGAGCAGCTTAGGATGTTACCTCTCTACATTTAAGAACCTGGAAGTAATTTCAGCAGTTGCAAAC